ACTCCGAGTGGATCGAGGTCACGATAGCTCAAGTGGTAGAGCAGCGGCGTATCTAGCCGAAGGTCGTGGGTTCGAATCCCGCTCGTGACGCGGACTTTTTTATCTCAACTAAAAACCTTAATTAATTGAAATATATTAATTGGTCATGCGGACCACGAAAATAAGTGAATTTAATCAACAATAAATTTGACTACTTTTGTGTTTGTTTATGATAGTATGTTTTTTAAGTTGAAAGAAGTTCTCGCTTTGGCAGATGCTTTTAGCAACTAACGTCCTTTACATAGCCAAGTCCTGCGTGTGCCGCGCTCTATCATCCACATTGGACTACAGCGGTTTAGAATTAACGGAATTCTCGATCGAAGAGAAGCTAGCGGTAGACCGCGAGGTACGACAGCTAAAGACGATCGTTTTATTGATCTTTTTCAGCAGGTTTCGTGAGAATAGCGTAGTCTCTAGAATCCCCTCGTGAGGTACCTTACTACTAGATAGGACACCGACTAGAAATGCGACTATTCGCAAATCAGCATCTCGTCAATAGGGCATTTGAACAATGGGCGATAATGATGACCGGAGCTCCGAGAAGACGTAATGGACGCTTTGCTTCATGTGCCATGTGTGAGCCATTGCCTTTGCAAAGACAGTCAGTTATAGTGTTGAGAAGGGTTCTTTGACTGCACTAGGGATGAAGCAGGTTCTTCTTGAAGCTGTGGTCTCATTCACTCAAAAACTGCCGATAATCCTAGAACACATGTAGCTCGATTTGTCACCCTTTTCTTGGAGGATGAAGCCAGAGTGAATTGGCCAATCCAAAACGAATCCTATCGTTCGCCACATACGACAAGCATTGAACAGTTTCATACAGCACTTGTTGAAAAATGGGATTCTGTTTCATAAGAAGAAATCCGATCGCTTATTTATTCGATGCCAAGGAGACTTAAAGCCCTCTGCGAGGCTTGAGGAGGTGATACGCGTTATTCTAATCTAAGTGAGAAATTGTTAGGTAAAGTACCTTATTAGTTTATTTTGGTTTACATTAAATTAATTATTTTGTATTGATAGCTAGATTTGTGAAAGAGGGGTTCTGTTTTCGACTGGTTCAAGGGCCGATTACAGTTTTGTAAGACCCGCAAGTCATGAAGGTTTAGGCTGACATGGTCGCCGAGAAAGTGGCGAAACAAAAACGTACAATCTATCATTAAACTTTATGTATATCCAGAGTGAAAAAGTGAATAATTTTACAATAACAAAAAACTATTTAAAACTAAAAGTAAACTTAAATAAATTGTTCCTTCACCTTGAACATTATTTTAATTAAATCCAGACTAAGATTCCGTCCTGTTTTGTTACTAATAAAGAGTCGGACACTAAATTTTATTTGCTGTGTTTTACAAATAACGCTCATTAGTTTATGCACAGTTTTGAAGCTAGTTAGTACTATCATTATAAATAATCTAGTTATTAGTTATATTTTAATTTCATGTAAATGGTCATAAAGTTTATCGCGGTTTTTTCTCTAAAATTGTATTAGCTTTTCGAGCTAATACAATTTTCCGGTTACTTGGTTCCTTATGCCATTGAGTTTCTCCCCTATTTTATTTTGCGGTCCCTAAAAATAACAGTTTGTTTTTTGTTACTAAACACATAGGTTAGGTTTAGGCTATTAGAATTGGGCCTGTTTACGGTCTTCTGCAGTGCAATAAATATTAGTCTACTGAATTATCTGTATCATTGTTTAAAGTTCTTTTACCTATTACATAAACAAATATCCAATATACATATAAAATACAAAATCTTCTGGACTTCGCATGTTTGTCTCCACCATTTTTCAACCCTTCCCCCGAATGCACAGTACTTGTCATTACGATATACGATGTATTCCTCTCTTATGGATGTATTATATATAGTGAGATACATTGATTTTTTCCTTATATATATATTTAGAGAGAGAGAGAGAGAGAGAGAGAGAGAGAAAGTGGGAGAGGGAGAGAGATAGGATTCGTGAAAGAAGGGTTTTCGTCTAGTTCAAGGGCGATTACAGTTTTGTAAGGCCCCCCAAGTCAAGAGGGTTTAGCCTAACATGTACACCGTGAAAGTGGCGAAAGAAAAACGTACAATAATCAAACTTTCTGCATATCCAAAGTGAAAAAGTTAGTAATTTAACACTAACAAAAAACTATTGAAAGCTATGGAAAACTAAAACTAATCTTGAATTAGTTTGACTTTGAACATTATTTTAATTAGCTACAGATAATATTCCTTAAGCATAATTGTATTAAATGAGACTAGCTATTAAAAATGCAAAAACCACATAACGTTTCTGGTAAAATAAAACAAATAAAAAAGTTTAAAAATACAGATTTGTTTTTAAAACTTTTTGAAACCCTGAAATCAAATAATTGTAGGAATTATAAACTTTCATAAACCAAGAAAATAATGAATTTGGATGCGATAAACTGTATATATATATATATACAGGGTGAATTGCTACTCGTGCTACAAACTTCTCCAGTAGATTCTTCACCCTAAAATGAACAAAAAAGTTCATATTGTCCATGGTCCGATTCTCAACCATTTCAGAGTAATTTCGCTTTTTATCGATTTTGAAAGATATCACGTCCTGGCGTCGGAAAATCGTGATATCTTTTAATCTAAACATTTCTCTGAAAATCTAATAGCACCGTTGAAATTCCCGTTAATTTTTCAATAAGAAGATGACGGTGGCAAAATGTTTGGGCTAATTTTTTGTGTTTTATTTCAGCCAGAACTACAAAAAGAGTGGAAAATTGTGTAAATCGGAAAGTGTATAAAGTAATCCAGAGTTTCTAATTTTAGTCTCAGAAGGCAGCAAATTTGAGGAAAACTACCTGATTTAATAACGCTTCCAACGCACTCGTCATTTTCTTATTTAGTGGTTGTGAGACCAAGATGTTGATGACAAAAAGAGAAAAAATGGTGGTTCAAGGATTGCTAATGTTTGAGAGTGACTTGCTACTCGTGCTACAAACTTCACCAGTAGATTCTTGACCCTAAAATGAACAAAAAAGTTCATATTGACCATGGTCCGATTCTCAACCATTTCAGAGTAATTTCGCTTTTTATCGATTTTGAAAGATATCACGTCCTGGCGTCGGAAAATCGTGATATCTTTTAATCTAAACATTTCTCTTAAAATCTATAAGCACCGTTGAAATCCCCGTTAATTTTTCAATAAGAAGATGAAGGTGGCAAAACGTTTGGGTCTTTCTTCCTTGACCTTCTAGCTGTTTGTAAACTTCTTAAGCATTACATACTAAATGGGCATTAAATTAAATTAAAAAATTTCAATGGAATTATGATTTTGATTCTCTCTAAAAATTAACGGGGATTTCAACGGTGCTTATAGATTTTAAGAGAAATGTTTAGATTAAAAGATATCACGATTTTCCGACGCCAGGACGTGATATCTTTCAAAATCGATAAAAAGCGAAATTACTCTGAAATGGTTGAGAATCGGACCATGGTCAATATGAACTTTTTTGTTCATTTTAGGGTGAAGAATCTACTGGAGAAGTTTGTAGCACGAGTAGCAATTCACCCTGTATATATATATATATCCATGATAATTTTTCATGATGGTTTGTCATTTCGATAAACGTATGTCTCATACTCAGCCAACTGAACCTCAAAACCCTGCTTAATTCTGTTTATACTGTTGTGTTTTTTCTTCAAAATTAAGAAACTTTGTCATCATTTGAATAAATTATTGTTAACTTGAATTCATAAAAAATTAATTTTTGTTAATAATACAATAAATAAAGTTGATCTTAAAGCCGAACAACGTTCAAGTAGTTCATTAATTTGAAAAATCTCTCCATCAACAGAACTTATGGCAATAGCCCCCTGAGGTCTTGTATTAATATAATTTACTACCACGAAAAACATAAATTTTGCGTAATATTAGCTTATTATCTATATTTCATAAATGATCCTTGGCCATTTGGTCAAGTTTTCTTGTCATTTTGATAATCATTTGACTTGTGTTCAGATATACGAAATATAAAAAACTTTTTTTAACTGTACAGTGATTTCATTTTTATACTTTGGTTAATGAATCTTTTGTAAGAAAACAACTAGATCATTAATTGAATTTCGTATTATTTTGTATTGGGTAGATACATTTTTGGATTGATCACGTATGTTGGAGTCATAATGACACTTTCTCAGAGTAAATCGTAATTTCAAATTTATATGCTGAAAACGCATGTATTATGGATATTATCTCAATTTAATTCACATCAGCCTAAATAGTATAATTATATATAAAACTATCGGAGATAAGGCAAATTTGAGAAAGAAAAAGCATTCAATTCTTTCGGGTTGCTTTGGAAAAATGTATGCCCTTCATCATAACTTTAGAACTATTTCTAGTAATTTACACATATTTTCTTCCTTTATTAACATTTTTTAAATCAACGATATTTACCACCCGTCCAACCTACCAAACTACATTACAATTATAACCAGAGGTCCACTACCCGAAGCTCATAAATTCACTATTGAAGCAATATTTTTTAATGTTGTAAGTAAACAATTATATTTCTTAACTTTGTAAACTGTTAGGAATAGTTTCATTGTCCTGATGAAGAGGATATTTTTCTCGAAAGATAGTCAAAGAAACTGGGTACCTCAGATGTTGTTTTATACATGGATCTGTTTCTTCAGAATTTTTAAATGGATACGTTTAATTTTTTCTTTTTGAATGAATTACATGATAACTGCAAAAATAGTATAATAAAAAAACTATCCTTGTTTTATACCTGTTGTATGTAATAAAATTGTTTCTAAAAAGCATATTAAAATAAAAGTAAAATAAAATAAAAAAGGTGCAGTGTGATGAAAATGCAGCTCCAGGATTTTTCATGTTTTTCGTATTTTTTCGCTGTTTCTCTTTCCTCTTTTATTTGAATTCTTCCGTGCTTCCGTTGGCATTTGTGCATTTCGAGTTGAGGTTGGTTACTTACCGTAGGCGTGTTGTCTTATGACGTGGTCACGGAAGACTCTCCGCGGAGGTGGTATTCGCTCGGACTAAAGCCGAAATTGACTCTGGTCGAGAAATGGGCGGTCGGGAGGCGGCGGTGTTCACTCTGGCTCCTCTGGCCCGCGTCTGCTCCCAGGATTGAGAAGAGCCGGCATCGAAGGGAAGTGGAGCGCATGACGCCCCCGCTTCCCCCGATCCCGTCCCCGAGCAGGTTTTACTACGGACGCGTCGTCAAACAGGTGGGATCAGACGGAAAAATTCAAACCCTCTCATATACCGACCGTGTGTCAAACACGCGACTCCCTTACTCCTTTTTTCAAAACACTTCCGTATATGATAAGAAATAGTTCCAATCTTTATTTTGAAACGTTAACTATTGCATAAATATGCTCACTTCCCTTCAAAAGAAACTTAAGTGTCATTGTGCAAAGCTGTCTTTATGAAACGCCCAATTCGTAGATACTTAGGGATAGGGATAAAAGAGGCGGCCACAAGGCCTTCTACTCCTCGATCTGTATAAATCTATTGTGCTCACCCGTTTTTTATCACTCACTGGCCAGCTTCTGATTATTAATCAATCTTCATAGCCTCGCCAGCTGCTCTTTGTGTAGAATATTGCTTACACCTTCTTTGCAAGAACCTTCATAGACGTTCACAAAAACATAAAATGTGTTCTGCATCTCCTCCTCTTCCTGGCAATACCTGCACATGAAGTTCCCGCATACACGGTCATCCTAAAAAGGACTCAGAGGCTCTTTAACGTCCACACCTATCCTCTTCGGCCTTATCGGACGTTTTGATTCTCAAGATGAGAGCTGACGCACCTCCACACACGACAGAAAGGTGTTACTGCCGCAGCATTGGTGTAGAGGCAGCTCAGCCCCGAAGAGCCAAGACAACCTCGCTCCCCGCTTGTCCAATCCGAGTGGCATATTTTTTTTAAACTACTAAAATCGTGACTCGAGACAAGTTAGTTGGGTCCGTCTACACTCGATTTTTTTGTATTGTTCAAACGTATTTCGGCGTTGCGCCATCTTCAGTGAGGAACCGTCTGACTTGTACGTGTAAGGCGTGTTCTAGGCTGCCAGTTGTAAGTTGGCGAGACATAAGGTCTTTATGAGGGATGTGCTGTAACGTTTTTTTGTTGAGGTTGATGAAATCAATGTACTGTGCTGTTAAAGGTACAATTATTCTATCGAACTTTCAATAAACAGGTCACAGCTGAGAATATAGGCATCTAGACCTAGTTCATAGGGTACATGAGGTTCCCGCATACTCGGTCATCCTAAAAAGGACTCTGAGGATCTTAAACGTCCGCACCTAGCCTATTCGGCCTTATCGGACGTTTTGATTCGCAAGATGAGAACTGACGCACCTCCGCATACGACAGGATGGTGTACAGGCAGCTCAGCCCCGAAGGGTCAATACAACCTTGCTCCCCGCTTATCCATTCCGAGTGGCCGGGTCTGCATTGAGCATCAGACCGTATGCCGCTCGCAAAGGGCTACCTAAGCCGAAGTACATCGGCTCGGTCTCCCGCGCACTCCCTAGATAGAGAAGGCGACTCTATCTCCCACAGTATTGGGGCTCCTCTAGCGTCGAAACTTCCTGATCCGCTCCGGCCGCTGTTTCGTTTAAAGTGGAATTTCTAACCATCCCCTAGAAGAGTACCGCCAATGGTAAAGCCTTCTATCGAGCTCAGCCTACACCTACGTGCAAAGCATACTCGAGTAGGAGCAACCGATTCAGTACCCGTTCCCATCCACCACTACTCACGCATTCGAGAGACTTTCCAGCACAATCATCGCGTCCTCAACGCTCATACGCTGCCGTCTGATCCGCCGTATCCCTTGAGGCTAGGTGTATAACAGTGGTCATACGCAAGTTTCGTACAGGTAGAAGGCAGCCTCTTCTCTAAGTTCCCGCCAGGGGCGTCACCACAAGCCCAGTGTAACAGGGGCTAGATTTTGGAACATGTCTGTTACCCCGTAGTTCAGATGGTTATGCACCCTCCCCCGTCTGTGCAGACAGGATCTGGTACCCTAACCCTCGTTTGCCTCTAATAAGGCACCCCATGCCGACACGAGTACAGCTTGTGCTTTAGAGAGGTGCAATATCTGCACAGGGTTTCTTCTGTCTGTACACCTATCCAGTGGATGTGTTTTTCTAAGTGGCAGCGCCCTGTCAGGGACACCGTCACACTTTTCGCCTATAGGCACACCTTCTCTGGGCCCAGGCAAAGTTCGACCATCGACTCTGGTGCCTGGGGATAACCGATGATGGAGGCTTTTCCCCATTTACCACCCTTTTCCTTACCTTATCTCATTATCCTTTCTTTTCCTTTCCCCCTCTGCTTTGGCAGATGCTTCCTGGGTTACGGAACTCGCACCCCTCAGGTAACAAGTGCATCAGTAGGGAATTCCTGAGATTTATCTTAGTAATTCCCCGGCCATCAGTCCGACCTTAATAATAATCAATTTATTTAGTGATATAATTGACCAAATTATTTCTTTCTATTAATTATTCTTTTTATGTTAGGTCTTGGTTGAGATGAAAAAGTTTGTGTAACGAGCGAAATTTGAAAAATGGCAAAAGAGAGGGAAAATTCGAAAGGATGAATGTTGAGATGGGGAGTTGGAGTCCGAGTGGATCGAAGTTACGATAGCTCAAGTGATTAGAGCAGAGGCGTATCTAGCTGAAGATCGTGGATTCGAATCCCGATCGTTACATTGACTTTTTCATCTCAACCAAGACCTTACATAAAAAGAATAAATACTTAAAAATAATACCGTATCACGGGAAGGAGTGACTCCAAGTAGCACCCGATTGAGATTTGACTCGAAGTGTTCGTGGTTTGCAACGAATTTGTACATTAGCTGGAGGGTACCGTCCAACCGGAGCCGAAGATATAGTGCCTTCTCTATCTCTCCGGGAGTGGTGAAAGGCACGGCTAAAAGCTGTGCCAGAAGCCCGAAAACTGCCTTTTTCAAAGCATATGTATGGCTGTGCTCTTTTAAAAGCACTTCTTGACTTGGCTATCGTGGCACCACCCCGCTAGCCAAAGAATGTGACAAGTCCATGCATGTAAAATCTTCCTGGTGATCTCTTAAAGAACACTAGGCGTCTGATATGTCCCTTCGAAGTCACGACGTTAAAGATCCTCATGGGTCTCAACATCTATGAGTAAAGATGAGAACGAAACCCTGTCAGGAGTCCAACCAGAATCTTCGTTTAGTTGCAGTTGCTAATCCAGTAATTCCTTTGTAAGTTTTGTGAATGGCCCTTCTATGAATCTTTTCGCGTGGCTCATGTCTGTGGCAGTAACGTTGTTCCACAGGGTTTGGGACTCATTAAAGATCCATTTTGAGATGTATCCTCTTTTGTGGCAAGATGCTAGGCCACAGTAGGGTTAAGGACCTAGAGAGTCCATGTTGGCTCCGTCATTGGCCAACATGTCAAATTTTTCGTTCCCTCTATGCCCCGAATACCATCATGCAGGTCCAAACATTCTTTTCCTTCAACTCGCTAGGACCTTGAGTGCTGCCTGACTGTCAGAGAAGCTGGCTATCTGACGGGAATGTATTCCTAGCCTTGTTATTTCCCTGGTGCATTGTTCAATCGTTGGAAAACAAACACTTTGAGTGAGTAGAAATACTTTGATTGAATGTGAAAAATATTTCTTTGCAATGTATAAATTCACTTTTTTCCACATCCTACACATATTTGTTAAATTTAAACAATGTTTGTAAATCCCAGGCCCTGAAGATGATCTCAATAAAGATCGAAACGTTGGCACGATAAAGAAAATGTTTCTTCTGAAACCTACATCACACAAGCCGCATCTCCCGATTTCCGAATAATCATTTTGTAAAAAGTTCACGATGCGACAGAATTCATAAACATGTAAAAAACTTTGTTTGCCACTACTTACAATTTCGGTTTACTTCTGATTTAGAGGGTTTTAATGCTCCATTTTAATTTTTTTTAAATTACCAATTTTTTACTAACAATACAATCCGGTCTTATTAAAAAAAAAGTAGATTTTCTGAAATTCAGTTTCAGCATAGTGAATTTTTGAAATTCTTCAAAGATCTTCCAATGTTCCTGTTTTAAGGGTTGGTGCAATTAAAATAGATTGTTAAAAACATAAGTTACAGTGAAAGGGTGGAATTTCCATTAAAAGTGGATAGGTCACAAAGAAAATCTATATGTTTTTTTACATGATAAGTTAAATCTTTGTAACTTGGTCACTTCAGATCATTTTAGGTCTGTCTATCATTAGAATGCTTGTTTGTCATGCCCCTTTGCATTTATTCTCTCTAGCATGCTCACTTACAGGCCTAATTTTTAACAAAAAATAAAGGCAAGATGGATAACAAATAGACGCACTGCTAATGATGGCATTTGGTAAACAATACAGCAAAAATAGACATAAAAAATGATCAGAAATGATGAAACTAGACGTTCAATATTTGTACCTTCGTCTTTACGATAATTTTTCGACTGTCTATCCTTGAAATGTTGTTTACACGTGCGTTACGACTTTTTCCTTTACTCAGTAGTGTGCTATTGCAACCTCCTACTTACATGCCGGTACAAAAACCAACTACATTTATGATTTTTAAAAAAGTCTCAATTGATACCAAGCAGATTCACAACTGCAGATGGCGTCTGGTACACCAACATGGCAAGGATAAACTGAAATAACGGACAAATTGGAAATCCTTATTTACTGTATACAAATTGGTCGTTTCCGATTATTTTTCGTCTGTCTAATCTATTCCGCGCCTTCTCCCTGCTAATAAGCCTAACCTGAAAACTCTCCACTTTTCCCAAAAAAGGCAGGATTGATAAAACCTAGTCTACAGTACTGATGATGGTGCCTGATAAAAAACATAGTCTACGGATAATCTAATCAAACTGCAAACAGTTATCTATCTTGTTTAGTCTGTCATCTTTGGAATTTTTGTTAGCCAGGCGTATTTCGATTTTTTATTTTTAAGTGGTATATTAGTGTAACTTTCTACTTATAGGAACGATCAGAAAACCTCCTAATTTTATTGAAAATTATAGCACGATTGTTAACAACCATTCTGTATATATCG